AGATGTACATGAGGAAAATCTTTAAGCGAATACATTAAAGCCTGCGATGGCATTGGGGGGCACTTATATAAGGCCAGACTCCTAATATAAGGCCAGGGGGAGAGAGGGGGATGCTATTACTCCCCATATCGTGGGGGTGCCTCAACCCCCTGCGATGTGGATTGTAACAGCAAGGGGGAGAGAGGGGGTTGCTATTACTCCCCATTGCGATGTGGATCTTAATAATTACTCCCCCTGCAATGTGTGTTCATTATTAGCAGTCTCTTTTGTTCAGGATATTAGGAACAATTTCACAGGTTGTGTGTACACAGCCTGCGACAGGAGAACGAATACCATCCTCTGTACCTCCAGATATTAGCAACCATATCACACTATGGGTGTACACTTTTTGGGAGATTTGGGATAATGTCGTCCTGTGTTTCCCTGAATATTCGGAGACATATCACAGGGTGGCTGTACACCCACTACTCTCTTGGCAGGAGCATCATACTTTACCTACTGGGAATTAGGAGAAATATCACAGACTGGGTGTCAAGCCACTGTCATATTGGAAGTAATATCATGCTCTCCCCCACAAGTTATGAGGAACAATATCACAGGGGGGTGTGTACTTTCTCTGGTAATGGGATTAGTATCATCATCTGTTCCTTTAGATGACAGGAACAATATCACAGGGTGGGTGTACACCCCAAGTGTTTTTGGAAGCAATGTCATTCTCTCTTCTTCTAGGTTTTACGATTCATATCACAGTTGGGGTGTACAACCCTTGTTATATTGGATGGAATCTCATCCTCTTTCAACCTGTAACTTTAGAACAATATCCCATGGGGGCTGTCCATCCCTTCAACATTGGTACTAATACCACCTTCTCCTTTCCTGGATATAAGAAACAATATCACAAGAGGGTGTACACCCCTTGCAATGTTGGTAGTAATATCATCTCTCCCCTGTGGTTATTAAGGACAAAATCCCAGGGTGGCTATATTGGGAGTAATATCATCCACTCACCCCCTGGATAAGAGGAACCATATCATGGAAGAGGTGTCCACCCCCTTCGATATTGTCAGCCATGTCATCTTCTTCCCGCCTGGATATTAGGAACGATACCCCGGGGTTGGGGGCGGTGTACACCCACTGCGATATCCAAAGTAAAATCAGCCTCTTTCCCGCTGGATATTAGGAACTGTATCACAGGTGTGTGTGCACCTTCTGGGATATTGGGAGTACTATCAGCCTCCACCCCGCTGCATATTAGGAACGATATATGGGGCAGGGTGGTTACACTCCCTGCAATATTGAGAGCAATATTCTTCTCTTTCCCCTGTACATTAGGAACTACATCACAGGGGTCTGTATACCTTCTGTGATATTGGGATTAATGTTATCCTCTCCCTCACTGAATGTCAAAAACAATATCACAGAAGGGTGTACACCCCCTGCGATATGACCAGTAATATCATCATCTCTACCTTTGGGTAGTAAGAACAACATCACGGAGGGTGTGTACACTCCCCTGCAATATTGGGCATAATGCTATCCTTTCTTCCCCTGGATATTAGGAACGATATCCCTGGTGGTGGGAGGTGGAGTACATTAAGACCAACATCACTGGGTGGGTGTACTCCCCCTGCGATATTGGGTGTGGTATCATCCTCTCTTCCCTAGGATACTAAGAACAATACCACAGGAGGGTTGTACAGCCACAGCCCCTGCGTTATTGGGAGTAATAGCATCTTCTCCCACTCTCAATATAAGGAACAATATCCCAGGGTGGGCGTACATCCCCTACGATATTGGGCGCAATGTCTTCGTCTCCCAACGTGGATATTGGGCATAGTGTCACAGGGGGATGTACACCTTCTTCGATATTGGAAGTAATGTCATCCTCTCCCCTCAGGATTGTAGGCAAAATATTGAAGTGGTTTTACAACTCGTGCGATATGGGCAGTAATGTCATCCTCTCCCCACCTAGATGTTAGGAACTATATCACAGGCGGCTGTACACTTCTTGCGATATTGGGAGTCATATCATCCTCTCCCATCATGGATATTAAGAACAATATTACAAAGGAGGTGTACACCCCCTGTGATATTGAGAGTAATATTATGTTCTTCCCTTCGGGATATTAGGAACAATACCGCAGGAGGTGTGTACAACCCCTGTGATATTGACAGTAGTATCATCCTCTCCCCCTGAATATAAGAAACAATATCACAGGAGGATGTACACCCCATGTGATATTGGGAGTCATATCATTTTCTCTCCCTCTGGATATTTAGAACAATATCACAGTGGGTGTGTACACCCCCTGCGTTCCTAATTTCCACCTAGGAGAGAGTGATATTACCCAATATTGCAGGGGTTATAAACACTCCTTGATATTGTGCCTAATATCCAGGGGGT